TCATCCTAGGTCCTTTTCCGCAGAACTGCTGCCTAGCCATTCGGTCCCTAGTCTGTAGCTGTGCATTGGGTTCTTCCGTCCTAAGTGCAGGACCCTGCACTTATCCTTATTGAACCTCATCAGATTTCTTTTGGCCCAATCCTCCAATTTGTCTAGGTCTTTCTGTATCCTATCCCTCCCTTCCAGCGTATCTACCACTCCTCCCAGTTTAGTATCATCCGCAAATTTGCTGAGAGTGCAATCCACACCATCCTCCAGATCATTTATGAAGATATTGAACAAAACCGGCCCCAGGACCGACCCTTGGGGTACTCCACTTGACACCGGCTGCCAACTAGACATGGAGCCATTGATCACTACCCGTTGAGCCCGACAATCTAGCCAGCTTTCTACCCACCTTGTAGTGCATTCATCCAGCCCATACTTCCTTAACTTGCTGACAAGAATACTGTGGGAGACCGTGTCAAAAGCTTTGCTAAAGTCAAGAAACAATACATCCACTGCTTTCCCTTCATCCACAGAACCAGTAATCTCATCATAGAAGGCGATTAGATTAGTCAGGCATGACCTTCCCTTGGTGAATCCATGCTGGCTGTTCCTGATCACTTTCCTCTCATGCAAGTGCTTCAGGATTGATTCTTTGAGGACCTGCTCCATGATTTTTCCAGGGACTGAAGTGAGGCTGACTGGCCTGTAGTTCCCAGGATCCTCCTTCTTCCCTTTTTTAAAGATTGGCACTACATTAGCCTTTTTCCAGTCATCCGGGACTTCCCCGATTCGCCACAAGTTTTCAAAGATAATGGCCAATGGCTCTGCAATCACAGCCGCCAGTTCCTTCAGCACTCTCGGATGCAACTCGTCCGGCCCCATGGACTTGTGCACATCCAGCTTTTCTAAATAGTCCCTAACCACCTCTATCTCCACAGAGGGCTGTCCATCTCTTCCCCATTTTGTGATGCCCAGCGTAGCAGTCTGGGAGCTGGCCTTGTTAGTGAAAACAGAGGCAAAAAAAGCATTGAGTACATTAGCTTTTTCCACATCCTCTGTCACTAGTTTGCCTCCCTCATTCAGTAAGGGGCCCACACATTCCTTGGCTTTCTTCTTGTTGCCAACATACCTGAAGAAACCCTTCTTGTTACTCTTGACATCTCTGGCTAGCTGCAGCTCCAGGTGCGATTTGGCCCTCCTGATAACATTCCTACATGCCCGAGCAATATATCTACAGACAACATATCTACAGACAATGTTTGCAGATCGGATGCGGATACAAATTTTGTGTCCATGCAGGGCCCTACAAATGACACTGAAGGACTGATAAGAAGTAGGAGGAGAACCAAGAGAAGACAGTGCTATAGAAACCAAGGTGGTAGGGGGACAGGATTCAATGTGAGAGTAATTATTGGTTTTGAAGAGTACAAAGGAAAAGGATGGAATAGAAATCACTAGATTTGGGAAAGAAAAAGATAGTTAGACATCATGAAAGAACACGCTTGGTAGAGTGCAGAGGGAGGAAGCTGGATGGAGAGGAGAGAGGATTCAGTGAGATAAGGAAGTAAAATCAAGGGCTGTAATAGCCCATTCAGGACGTAAAGAGAAGTAGAACAGTTGTTGGAGGGGCAATTGGGTGCAAAAGCTGTTTGGGTTTTGTATTTATTTATTTATTTTTACAATGAAAGAATACTGGAGCCTAGGTTGTAGTTTGAGTGGAAGGAGTCAGATTATAAGGATAGGTTGAGGGTGAAGCAGATAAAATTGAGGGTACAGCTTGTGGTAAGGGAAACAGAATTAAGTGAATGACCATCAGTCAGTGACAGAAGGGAAAGGGTGCGAGGAGGGAAAGAAACAGTGATGAGATGATAGCACTTGGACACAAATGTGATGCATGAGCGATAGACGTAAGGGTAGAGGGAAAGTGATCAAATCTGAACTGGTTGATGATCAAGTCATTGCAATCCTGAGAAGAATCCTAGGGAAAAGGAGCCTGAGGATAGAGTGGAGGGGGACAAACGATGGGAGTTGTAGAGTGGATCATAATGGGGGAAGAAAAGAGAACAGCTGTTCATGGAAGATAACCCTGAAGGAGGAAAGGGTGAATTTGTAGTGGAGGAAGTCTATGTGATCCAGATTTTCTCCACAGATTTTCATCAGCACAGGACTTGGATGGAGGAAGTGGTTGATGGTTATTTAAGTGGATGGTGCAACGGGAGAGGGACAAAAATATTAAGGGTGAAGAGAGTGATTTTGGGAGAGTCAACTACAAAGTCAGTGGAGGTGAGTGAGAGAAATGGAGGGGACTCACAACTGCTAAGAATTCAGGGATGTTTATGAATTTGGGATCATGGAAGGGATGGGGGGACGGTGGGCAATATTATAAGAGATATATAGGTCAGGGAGACTGTCTCCTTATTCCATTAAACAAATGGGAATTATGTTCTCCCATTTTTTTACAGGATAATACATTTGGTACACAAAAACATTACCTTAAACTCAATACTATGTTAATAAGTTAGAAGAAGTAAATAGTCTCACTGTCACTGGGTTTATTTAACTAATTCATTATAGTAGAAAAGGTGAGGCTGCCGTTCTTAACTACCTATAGTTGGGCATTTTTGCAAATTAACAAACTTCAGTCTGAAACATTAATGGGAGGCAGGATTTTTTCCCCTAGAAATATTATGGTAACAATAAGGACTTTTAGCTCTTTCATTCTCTTACACTTAAATGTTGCAATGGCTGGGGTTTGAAGTGTTCTTAAAACAGTGAATAAGTGACTTAAATGAGTTTTCTTTTATTAAGTTCTCTGTTAGATTGTTCAGATGCAGTTATGGGTCAGCTAGCAAGTAGATTTTGTATGGGGGCAAAAAAATTCAGAACTATACTGTTCCTTTGGTGGTTCTTCAAACCCAGTCTATCCTGTGATGCAGAGTCCCTTAAAAAGAATCCAGAGGGTTAGAAGGGACCACAAGGGCCATCTAGTGTGAACCCCTACCAAGATGTAGGATTTGTTGTGTCTAAACCTATGGTGGGCAACCTGCGGCCTGCTGCAACAATTTGTTTACATTGACCGTCTGCAGCTCCCAGTGGCTGCACCTGCTCATGCTCAAATAAATTGGTTAGTCTCTAAGGTGCCACAAGTACTCCTTTTCTTTTTACAAATAGCTATCGTCTTCATTTCAGTCTTTCTGGGGTGAAGCCCATGTGACTTGGTTTTATCCTTGACAGTACTCCTCTCAGGTTTGCTACCATATATGAATGTGATATAAATCCTTAAAAGCCAAAAAACATAGTAGTTGTTGATATTTAAGAATAGTCCACCCTTGTGATGAACTTGACTAAGTATCTGTGATAGTGCCCCCCATAAGGCTTTATGGAAATATGCTTATGAATGTATATATATGACATAACTGGAATATGTTTTGCGCTACATATGCCATGTAACATGTCTTTGTAGAGGTTATGATCTACTGAATCTATTAATCCTATTTGTATGCAAGTGTCATTTTTGTGTTCGAAGTTATGTATATTGGTTGTATACTTGTTTGATTCTAAGTAGGTTTTAGTGAAGCAGTTGGTCAGCTTCCTGAGAAAAGACTGTTCTCAGTAAAAATGCCCAATCAAGAAGCCCTTAAGCCAACAATGAACTTGGAGATGCCAATCCACATCTGAGCTTTCCCAGGAATGTGGCTTGGCTTGCATGAACTCAGTCATGCATGGACATGTGACTTGCTCAGGTGACTCCAAAACTCCATTTTGTAGCTAGGCTTTGCATAGGAGAGAGGAGGGGGTCTCCACCCACAAGAGAAAGTCTATTTAAACCCCTGAGAGACCCCTCCATTTTGTCTTTAGCTGGCTAAAGAGAGAGCCTCTCCACCCGCAGAGATACCTGAAAGAAACTGGAACAAAGGATAGTAACTACAGGGGGTGTGAGTGATTGCTGGACCCAGACTAGAAGGAGATTAGTCTATAAAAGAAAGCTTACTGGAACTGGTGAGGTTTTTATCTGTATTCAGTTTTATTACCGTACTAGACATAGACTTGCGTGTTGTATTTTATTTTGCTTGGTAATTCACTTTGTTCTGTCTGTTACTACTTGGAACCACTTAAATCCTACTTTCTGTATTTAATAAAATCACTTTTTACTTATTAATTAACCCAGAGTATGTATTAATACCGGGGAGGGGGGTGGGCACAAACAGCTGTGCATATCTCTCTGTCAATGTTACAGAGGGCGAACAATTTATAAGTTTACCCTGTATAAGCTTTATATAGGGTAAAACAGATTTATTCAGGGTTTCGACCCCATTGGGAATGGGGCATATGAGTGTCTAGGACAGGAACACTTCTGTAAGCTGCTTTCAGTTAAGCCTACAGCTGTTAGGGGACGTGGTTCAGACCTGGGTCTGGGTTTGCAGCAGGCTAGGAGGTCTGGCTCAAACCCGGCAGGGTGGGCACTGAAGTCCTAAGCTGACTGAGCTGGAAAGCAGGAGCAGAAGTAGTCTTGGCACATCAGTTGGCAGCCTGCAAGGGGGGTTCTGTGATCCAACCCGTCACAGTATCCTTAAGTGTTTCTTTCCTCCTTCTGATTAAGCAGCACCTGCTGTGTTCTAAAGGGAGAGGTGGTGGCAGGTTCTGATGGGTGTATCAAATTTCAAAATTATATCTCAAAAGGCCACTTTTGAATAGCTGAAATACCATGACAAACGCTAATGGTGTGACCATGATAGAAAGGTCAGAGTTCACATTTGGGATATTTCTTAGTTAAGCAGTCTAATGAATGAGTCTACCATCTTTCAAAATTCCATCTCAATAGGTATGTAGAGATTAATTCAGCCACTCACCTTGTTTACAGGGTCTGAATTGTACTGAATGCATGACTTTCTACTAATCAGCTAGATAGGGTATTTACACAAAGATTTTCTAATGTGGGATATGTTTAAATGTCTGTGCTCTCTGCTTGCACAGATTGTTCTACTCATTGTTTGACTTTCTTTAAAAAACAGAAATCGCCTGCCAAGAAGCTGAGCCACGCAATTAGTAAATCTCTTGGTTGTGTGCCCACTAGAGAACCACCTCATCCTGTATTTCCTGAACAGCCAGAGAAGCCACTTGATCTTGCTCATATAGTGTGAGTATCCATTTGTATGTATCTTTCATTTAATCAAAACTTAAAGCTAAATCGATACCAAAGTAGCTGTTTGTGGGTGTATTTGACTGCAGAATTTGAGTTTTTTAGTTCCATTTGGATTCACCATGGAGTTTTTAAGAGATGTGGTTTTATAAGTCAGAAAGGATCCCTTAAACACATTTATCATTTTACATGAGTTTGTTCTCTGGAAAAATGTTAAATAAGTAAATGGGCTAGATGGACCTTTGGTCTGACCCAGTATGGCTGTTCTTATGTTCTTAAATAAATACTTTGTTTGTAGAAGAATGACTGCCACATAATGTATAGGTAATCATCATCATCATGTTCCCATTATGCCTCTGGCATTTAGGGCAGCAACGAAGCTCTCCACTCCTGTCTGTTTCTGGGATGTCTTTCAATGGTTCCCCAGCTGTGCCCCAGGTTTTTCAGCTCAGTTTCCACAGCTCTTCGTCATGTTGTTTTCAGTCAGCCTTGTTTTCACCTTCAAGTGTCTATCTTATTGCTGTTCTGGTGATGGAATCAGTTTCCATCAGAAGCACATGGCCAATCCATCTCCAACGCCTTCTGGCAATGATGGTGCTTATATCCTCTTGGCTGCACTGTGTCAATAGATCTTGGTTTGGGATTGTTCTGGGCCAAAAGATACGGAGGATTTTTTCCAAGGCAGATTGTATGAAATAAAGACAGTTTAGATATATCATACTTTCTCATTGAAAGTACACAGCTCTAATAAACCTTCAGTTTGGTTTTGGTGTTGTGTTTTGAGGATTTCCAGACTGTATTTAAGCTCCTGAAGGTGTTCCTGGCTTTATTGATTTTGTTCCGGATGTCCTCGCTTGTTCCACCATCCTGGCTGATGGTGCTGCCCAAGTATGTGAATGTTTCTACATTGGTGAGAACATAATCCTCTCTCCGTATTGGCGATAGTGAGGCAATATTAAAGGTCATGATATCTGTCTTATTGCAGTCGATTTTCAGTATGAGTATGTTTATTTATAGATAATGTATTTTCTGGATTTTATCCATATATTTTATTATATTCTGTCTGTGCTTATTTATTAAGAATTCAGTTTTGCAAAGTACTGACTGTCCTCAGAACTCACATGCTTGAATGGGAGTTGAGCTACTCAGAGCCATGTCAGATCAGGTCCCATCTTATTTATTTTGCTTTACATTAGACTCCATAAGCAGCATCACTTGTCCCATAACCTCAGCTGTGCAGAACACAATGCCATCCACAGCCTCAGAAACAACTGTGACATCATAATCAAAAAGGCTGACAAAAGAGGTGCTGTCATCATCATAAATAGGTCGGAATACGAACAAGAGGCTGCTAGGCAGCTCTTGAACACCACCTTCTACAAGCCATTACCCTCTGATCCCACTGAGGGTTACCAAAAGCAACTACAGCATTTGCTCAAGAAACTCCCTGAAAAAGCACAAGAACAAATCTGCACAGACACACCCCTAGAACTCCAAGCAGGGGTATTCTATCTGCTACCTAAGATCCATAAACCTGGAAATCCTGGGCACCCCATCATCTCAGACATTGGCACCCTGACAGCAGGATTGTCTGGCTATGTAGACTCCCTCCTCAGGCCCTACGCTACCAGGACTCCTAGCTATCTTTGAGACACCACTGACTTCCTGAGGAAACTACAATCCATCGGTGATCTTCCTGAAAACACCATCCTGGCCACTATAGATGTAGAAGCCCTCCACACCAACATTCCACACAAAGATGGACTACAAGCCATCAGGAACATTATCCCCGATAATGTCACGGCAAACCTGGTGGCTGAACTTTGTGACTTTGTCCTCACCCATAACTATTTCACATTTAGGGGCTATGGGTACCCGCATGGCCCCACAGTATGCCAACTTTTTTATGGCTGACTTAGAAAAACGCTTCCTCAGCTCTCGTCCCCTAATGCCCCTACTCTACTTGCGCTACATTGATGACATCTTCATCATCTGGACCCATGGAAAAGAAGCCCTTGAGGAATTCCACCATGATTTCAACAATTTCCATCCCACCATCAACCTCAGCTGGACCAGTCCACACAAGAGATCCACTTCCTGGACATTATGGTGCTAATAAGCGATGGTCACATAAACACCACCCTATACCGGAAACCTACTGACCACTATACTTACCTACATGCCTCCAGCTTTCATCCCGACCACACCACACGATCCATTGTCTACAGCCAAGCTCTATGATACAACTGCATTTCCTCCAACCCCTCAGACAGAGACAAACACCTACAAGATCTCTGTCAAGCTTTCTTAAAACTACAATACCCACCTGCGGAAGTAAAGAAACAGATTGATAGAGCCAGAAGAGTTCCCAGAAGTTACCTACTACAGGACAGGCCTAACAAAGAAAATAACAGAACGCCACTAGCCGTCACCTTCAGCCCCCAACTAAAACCTCTCCAACGCATCATCAGGGATCTACAACCTATCCTGAAGGATGACCCATCACTCTCAGAGATCTTGGGAGACAGGCCAGTCCTTGCTTACAGACAGCCCCCCAGCCTGAAGGAAATACTCACCAGCAATCACATACCATACAACAGAACCACTAACCCAGGAGCTTATCCTTGCAACAAAGCCCGTTGCCAGCTGTGTCCACATATCTATTCAGGGGACACCATGATAGGGCCTAATCACATCAGCCACGCTATCAGAGACTCATTCACCTGCACATCTGCCAATGTGATGTATGCCATCATGTGCCAGCAGTGCTCCTCTGCCATGTACATTGGCCAAACTGGACAGTCTCTACATAAAAGAATAAATGGACACAAATCAGAAGTCAAGAATTATAACATTCAAAAACCAGTCGGAGAACACTTCTATCTCTTTGGTCACTCGATCACAGACCTAAAAGTGGCAATTCTTCAACAAAAAAACTTCAAAAACAGACTCCAACGAGAGACTGCTGAATTGGAATTAATTTGCAAACTGGATACAATTGACTTAGGCTTGAATAAAGACTGGGAGTGGATGTGTCATTACACAAAGTAAAACTATTTCCCCATGTTTATTTCCTCCCTCACCCCCGACCCGCTATTCTTCAGACGTTCTTGTCAACTGCTGGAAATGGTCCACCTTGATTATCACTACAAAAGGTTTTTTTTCTCTCCTGCTGGTAAGAGCTCATCTTACCTGACCATTCTTGTTACAGTGTGTATGGTAACACCCATTGTTTCATGTTCTCTCTGTACATAAATCTCCCCACTGTATTTTCCACTGCATGCATCTGATGAAGTGAGCTGTAGCCCACGAAAGCTTATGCTCAAATAAATTTGTTAGTCTCTAAGGTGCCACAAGTACTCCTTTTCTTTTTGCGGATACAGACTAACACATCTGCTACTCTGAAACCTGTCATAAACAAAACTGTCATTTAAAGCCTGTAACTATTTCCGAGTTCATATTTTATAGAACGCTCTTAAAGTATCTGATGGTGGTGGTTGACCCTGAGCCTGGTGTAAAATTGTGGCTTGCTGTGGACCTTGACTTCACGAGTTATTTATTTTTGTCTCACTGATTGGTCTCCTATGCTTTTCTGTTCAGTGGTGTTATCTCTATGGTTTCAGTGTGGCTTTATTGTGAAGTTGGCAGAATGGTTTTACCAAAAACACATTGTCGTATTGTTACAATTTGGACAGATCTGTGATCAATCTTTTATTTTTGCTTCTTTATCTTATCAGTTCTGGACATCAAAATCAGAATTCATGAGATAATTGAAATTGTGTCAGCATATACATGTAATAAGCTTGACTGTAAAGAGACAATAGTTAATACCACACTAACTTTTGCAAAAGTCACAGGTTTTTCATGTCTGCAAAAATTAAGCAAAATGATTCAGAGAAAAACAAGGGAAGAGAAGCATAGCTATGGGGACATAATTTATATAAAACTGAGGACTCCAGTTTCATACAATATTCAGTAAGGACACCAACACTGCAGCTTTAAGACTGAATTAAGTTAGTACCATTGCTGTTTTCATTTGTCCTTGTCAGAAAGACAGATTCATCTTAAGAGGTTTTCTCTTCTTTTTACAGTCTCTGAATTGAAAACCAAGATATCCAAATTTTAGTGTCTCTGTCTTTGAAAGCTTAATATTAAAAGGTTCCACTTTGACCTTAGAATCTGTGACAAAGTTCCTGCTCTACCTTGGTGGGTCTTGGGCTTGTTGGCGGATTTGCTCGCCTTGGAGCATCACGGCAGCCCTCAGCTTGGCCGTTTTTCTGAACCCACAGTCCAGGTCGACTACTCCTGTGTCTGACGAGGAATTGGGAGGATTTGGGGGGAACCCAGGCCTGCCCTCTACTCCGAGTTCCAGCCCAGGGCCCTGTGGAATGCAGCTGTCTAGAGTGTCTCGTGGAACAGCTGTGCAACAGCTACAACTCCCTGGGCTATTTCCCCATGGCCTCCTCCCAACACCTTCTTTATCCTCACCACAGGACCTTCCTCCTGGTGTCTGATAATGCTTGTACACCTCAGTCCTCCAACAGTCCGCGTTTTCACTCTCAGCTCCTAGTGCCTCTTGCTCCCAGCTCCTCACATGCACACCACAAACTGAAGTGAGCTCCTTTTTAAAATCCAGGTGTCCAGCCTTCCTTAATTGAGTCTAGCAGCTTCTTGACTGGCTGCAGGTGTTCTAATCAGCCTGTCTTAATTGTCTCCAGAAGGTTCCTGATTGTTCTGGAACCTTTCCTGTTACCTTACCCAGGGAAAAGGGACCTGCTTAGCCCAGGGCTAATATATCTGCCTTCTATTACTCTCCTATAGCCATCTGGCCCAACCCTGTCACAAATCATAGAATATCAGCATTGGAAGAGACCTCAGGAGGTCATCTAGTCCAACCCCCTGCTCAAAGCAGGACCAATCCCCAACTAAATCATCCCAGCCAGGGCTTTGTCAAGCCTGACCTTGAAAACCTCTAAGGAAGGAGATTCCACCACCTC